TAAAAATTGTGAAAGATGTGTTATTTATAGCAAATAAAATCATAATTATTAATTGCTAAAATCATATGTAAAAATCATATTATTAATATTTAAAAATCATAAAAAGAAATAATAAATACATTAATTGGCAACGGCCAGAAGGCCGTTGCCAATTCAAAAATCAACTTCTTTCAACTAGCGGCCACTCTGAAACGCCTTGGCGGGCGCGTGTAACAGGGTGAAGGGTCTGACAAAATATTATATGATAAGGTACGTTACAAGTAGTCCAGCTCTATAAATTGAGTTGTGTAGCAAAGCAAATCTCTATGATAACCTCCGGAATTTGCCTATATATTCTAGCTTTGGGAAACAAGAAAAAGAAACGGTACGTAGAATAAATAAATTTTTATGTATGTGTGTTGCAGTAGAAAATATATGTAGTCCATAATAGTAAATGTTTAATGTTAGTTAATTGTCACTTAGTTTTTAATTGTTTTTGAATATAATGAATTTGCCATTTTCAATCGTTTCAGGTTCAAATCATGCAGATCTCAGCCAGTTGTTAGTAAAAGTCATCCGATTAAGTCTCGCGATTAACCAACGTCATGCGATTAAATCTCGCGATATATTTTTTTTTAAAAAAATATGTTGTGAAATGTAATTGAAAATGACATATTTTTTTTTATATATGTCGGGGTTGTGTTAGCTAAGTATTCAAGTATAATACCGCTGGCTACGACCCCAACCTGTACTGTACTGGATGTGTCACAATGATTGGGCCTATGTGCGGTGCATTTACTGCATGTAACCGATCATGGGATCTGCAGTTGTTGTTCGTATGACCATCCATATATTTAAAATTTTGTAATATAGTTAGTAGTATCCAAACATATATATATATATATATATATATATATATATATATATATATATATATATATATATATGGATACATTAAAATGATGTATTAAAATGTTGTGGAATTTAATTGAATGCAAAAAAGATGTATCCTATATGTTACTTACTTTTAGTTTCTTCAGCAATGCAATTAATCTGCTTAGTCTTTATTTGTTAATGTATTACTATTCCATTTTTGTTAGTTGCATAATTATGTTAGAAAGACACTTTTTTTCCCAAAAATAAAAAATAAAAAAAAAATACACAATAGTGCGTTATGACATTGGTTATTTGGGACTTGACTGTCTGTTTGACTACAAACTGACAGTCAAGTCCCTGTATCTGACTGACGTGACATGTCACGTCAGTCTAGACTGACGGGCCATGTCACGTCAGTGACCTACATGGACGTTTTCTGGCTAACGCGTCAGACATCCTACTAACGCATCAGTCAGAAATGTTGTGTGCTGAAACGAAAAAAAAAAAAAAAAAAAACTAAAGTCCTATAAATACAAGATATTTTGGTTACACCATCAGGCATTGAAAAATTATTGTGCAAGTTATTTTCACCAAAGTTCCATGCACGAAAATTGGCTCTCTGGTTACTTTAGTTTTAAATTTTTTTTTTTTTTTGATAAAAAATGAGTCAAAATTACTTACATCCCGGTCCAATCGATCCAAGTTTGTTAACATTTCAAAACCTCCACCGATCAGAGTCTGTGTGGGCCTACGAAGATTTTGGCGCGCTGTTATCGTGTGTGCATTATGCTCGTAATGCTTTTAGAAGCCTCCGTATGACCGATCGTGTCGAGGAATTGTTACGCCGGGCAGGATTTTTAGCGGTTACACGATTAGGTTGTGATATGAAACTTGATCATCATTTGATCACGGCATTAGTTGAACGGTGGAGGCCCGAAGTACATGCATTTCACTTGCCGTTCGGTTAGGTACCATTACTCTCCAAGATGTAGAAGTTTTGCTTGGGTTAAAAATTGATGGCAGGCAATTGATTGGCGAAATTGAAAAAAAAAAAAAAAAAAAAAGAGGAACGTTTAGTGCAAATTCAGAACATTTTAGGATTTACTCCCTGAAATGGTGCGTATAGCAAATCGTCTTTAAATATTTTTGTGTTAAATGAACACGTGAATACTATTAATATCGACTATGCCAATGATGAAGAACTGGAACAGTACGTGAGTGACATAATTTTATTATTTCTGGGTGGATTACTATTTCCAGAAACGAGTCATAATAGTATTAAATTATGTCTGTTGGATTGTATTGAGGATCTTACAATCTGTGGGCAATATAGTTGAGGTGACATACTTATATAGATCTGGGTGTGCTCGCATACTTATACAGATCTCTATGTCGCACTGCAAATTTTGACCAATCTGTTATTGGGGGCTGTCTTATTTTGGTTCAATTGTGGGCATGGGAGCGCTTGCCTTGCACTCGACCGGCGAGACTACTCCTATTAAATGATTTTACCAGACCTTATGGTGCACGGTAATTTTTATCTACATTATGACATTATTTAACCCTTAATGCACAATGTTCTGTAATGCATGGGCATTTCGAATGTAGATGGCATTGTCCTCACACATGGGCATCTACCTCTAATCACACGTATGCAGCATATCGTGATTTGCTCGATAGATGTCAAGTGGATAACATGAGTATATTATATTTATTTTGTACATATATATATATATATATATATATATATATATATATATATATATATATATATATATATATATATATATACCAAAATTAATTTAGACATAGCTTCAAATTTAAAAATGCAGTTTGTGTGGACGCATACAACGTTGATGCCTTGCCAATTTGCTGCCGGGAAGGGCGAGATGTTTGGACTGCACGTGTTCCATTACTGGTTTTTTTTTGCCATAGAGTGGCACTATCCGGACCGAGTTTGTAGGCAATTTGGTGGTTACCAAGACATTCCAACACACGTGGAGTACGACCCCGATCTAGACAAATTAGATGGTCGTACTAGGAATGAACAATGAGATCTTCGCCATCACTTATATGTTGCTATGTGGGAAGACCAAGCACAGTACGTAATTCATATACCACCACATGCACCACTTGGCCCATATGTAAGTCAGGCTTATGACCATTGGTTCTACCGAGTTGGTCAACGAGTTATCGGTAATCCCGAACAACGTCAACCCGAGGGGTACATGCAGACAGCGCCATCATACATTGAACCGGTAATAATGTTTTATATCAATTATAACTTTAAAAGTATTCATTTTCAAACTTTTTTTAAAAAATTGAAGGAGAATAATTATGTTTTGAAAATATTTCAAATTTTTCGAAAAATAATAATTTTAAAAATTGAAGAATTTTCGAAATTATTGGAAAAACTGTAATAATTATACTAATTTTTTTTTGTTCACAATTTATAAATTGTATAAGTTGAAGCGTTACGACATATTAACATCCACGGAGAACTTGCAGTCGAAAACGGACAAAGCAACAGTTATACCAATGCAATGCAACAAATTGCAAGAGACGAACTTGTTCGGCTAAATTATGGTTATGTTATGGATTTCCCTAGGGACAATGACAATTTTCTTTATGCGCCAACCGAGCAAGTGCGCCCTCCCGATCGACGGCGGGATGATAACCGCCGTGGTCGTCGTGCGCAAGGCGGTCGACGATGTGGCCATATTCCCCAGTTGGATCTTAATGTTGAAGGAGACGAGGATGAACGCGATGTCCGAGGTCCTAATCTAGAGGAGCTGGGATTTCATACTGAATATGATATGGGAGATATCACTCAAGTAGATCTCACCTAATCTACAACGGCCGGTGCATCATTCATGACCCCACAAGCATATGCGGACCAAACAAATTTGTATGGGGTTGGATCGTCATCGCAAGTACCTCCGATGCATGACGGACGACCAATACGAAGCGCTTCACACCTCCTGCCTAATGAGTCGTTTCAACATGCAATTCAGAATTATTTTAACAAAGACGTTACAATAAATACATCTCAGGTGGTGAACAATACCCAAGAACAACAACAGTCCAGAGTTCACGTACAGTACCAACATCGTCGTCCATCTCGTAATATTAGACGACCACCTTGTGGCACATAATCGCTGTGTAATTACTTTTTTGGCTTGTTGTAATGCACCTATGAAATTCTATTTAAATATTGCACTTATCAATATTTATATTGGACCAAATTAACATAAGTTTTTTTTTTTTGTCACCTTATTTAAAAATGGCCCGCAATAATTGGGGGCCACCTTAATTAAGGCCGGACTGTCACAAATAGTGACAGTCCGGCCTCCTTGCTTGTTGTCAGTATACAACTGACAGCCCGCGACGTGACTAATCATGTTGCTGTCAGTTGTACATTGAAAGCAAGCAAGGTGACTAGTCGGAATGACTAGTCACATTTTTATTTTTAATTTTTCCTGCTAAGTGGTTGCAAAGTTTTTTTTTTCTTTTTTTTGGGGCCAATTACTTGTATTTACACATAACAACGAAAGACTCCCATGTGAGCTGATAGTGTACATTAATATTACACATCCCTTTGCAACCGTGGACATCGTCTAATATCGTGGTTTGCTGAACGACAAACACTACAACGCTTTCCCTTCAAATCCATTTCGTTCGGAATTCTTGTACTTTCGCGACGACCTGGTCGACCAGCAGCAGGTCGAACTGTTGGGGGCAACGTCGTAAAGGATGGGACTGGCTAATAATTTTCAGACAATAAAGGCATGATGGTTCCTTCATAAGTTTGGAGATACTTTGCTAGGGAGTATTTATCCGGAACCATACCATCGGGGACTCTACCAACGTAATGACAGGCCGCATGTGCATGAATGCATGGCAGTCCGTCGACAGACCACTGGCCATAGTTACATACCTGTTCGTTGATGTTGATCGCCACGAAGTTCGGTCTCCCGTACCTATTTAGATCACCTTCAATCGCAACCGAATAAATACTGTCAAGATCGTCATGACGTTTTACAATGGCGCGGTACTTGTGGCTTTCCCTTTTCAACATCTCATCGAGAATATTACATGGCCATTGCAACCCCCCTTGTTGCATTACCAATCCAGCAGTACGCCTCTCAGCGAACATTAAAGCAACTTTTTTCGTACGTTAGCTTCACTATAGCTGACACGGGCAGAAGACGACAACGCTTTAGACTGTTGTTGAAAGATTCTGAACTGTTGGTCGTCATCAATCCATGTCTAAATCCCCCATCGTGACTTAGGGCCCAAAACCGGGCAGGGATTGCCATCAAGTAATTATATGTCGCCTCGTTACTTGCCCGAATTATACTCATTACAGCCTCAAACCCCCGAACATCCATAGCACAACCGGCCTGCCGAAACAAATTTTTTAATTCCTTGTTCTTAAACTTGGTCATCAAATTTGACCACAAATGACGGAGGCAGTATCGACGCTGGACCCGCGGCTCGGCCAGTTCTGGTACTTCCCGAAATGCATGGTCGATGCCACCATGCCTATCCGAGATAATACATATGTGTTGCAAATCGCCAAACACATTTTGAGCCACCAATCTCAGGAACCAACTCCAACTATCTCCTGTTTCAGCTTCAACAATTGAGTATGCAACTGGATGTATTTCTTTGTTGGCATTTATAGCTACTGCTAATAGAAGGTGGCATTTGTACTTTTCGTACAAATGCGTCCCATCGACCGTAAGTACGGGTAAACAGTATTTAAACCCTTCTATTGCGGGTTTGAATGCCCAAAAAACATACTTAAATCGGAACTCATTCTGGATTGCCGTTTCCGTGTAGACAGTATCAACAACGAAATCTGGATTTGTTTGCTGTATGGCCATTAACGTTTGTGGCAATATGTTGTAGGACTCATCCCACTTTCCATACAGCGTCTCCAACGCGATGACCTTTGCGTACCAAGCCTTTTTTGTAATCAATACGAACACCCCATTTTGACTTGACATCTTTGATGACGTATTTAATTTTGTATCGCGGATCATCTGCAATTTTTTGCAGAATTAGTTCCGAAATCACTTTACTGGTAAGGTTGTAGTCATCTCCGCCCTCCGTATAATCCACACGGCATCCGTGGATATTATGAAACATTTTAACTATCCATCCTTCGGAATCTTGAATCTGCGCAGCACTTATCATCCACGCACACTGTTGGGGATATAAACAGGTAGCCTTCCAATATTTGCTCTTCTTGGTCGCCGTTTTGAACTGCGTATGTTGGTCAAGATTATGTTCTGTCACCATATTCTTTAATTGTCGGTAGCTGTCGAACACCATTCCAACTCCAATGGACGAACTAGCAGTTTGAAAAGCATTCCCGTATGCTGTATAATCATTGTACCAAGCTGGATCATGTGCTTGCCAGCGAGATGTCGTATCATGTATGGACGTGTTGACGGACGATTCAACCTCTTCAACGGGCTCATAATTAGGGTCGTCATAATCATCGGAAGGAAACAAAAATTCATCCCCACTTGTGTTTGTTTCTTCGTCTAAAATGACATTATTTGCGTCACAAATAAGATGATCCATTGGCACTATCTGTATGTGCTCTGCTTGCGTGCTTTGTCGTGACCGACCATCACTACGCCTTCGTGTTTCACATGTTCTAATTGGCATGCGGTCAACACTAGTACCCCCTTGAACAATGTTTAGATTCAATGTTGAATGGAAAGACATTTGAAGTTTCACAAAAACCACTAACGCCCCAAACGTGGACATAGCCCCGAAAAAATAAGACCACGTCTGATTATCGGTTATTGGAAATGGATAAACTACATCACCCAGAGATTGATTTGGCTAAAATTTTCCCCATAACAATATCTCACCAACAGTGTCTCCAATTTGAAGACAATTCTTTATCTCGGACACTAACTGTTCGAACGAACATGTTGCAGAGACGAACACGACATTTTGGGGAGCAATGTTGAAATCAACATCATCTCTAGGACCTTCATGTTCGAGATGCCGACATATCAACACAACCACCTGGTTACCTATACAAAATAAAATCTCATACATGATAAAATTATAATTACAAAAAAAAAAAAAAAAATTCGTATAAAATTTAATCGAAATAATTTATACTTCAATCATTATAAAGATGTGAAATTCATACCTGCCATTTTCCTTAAGGTAATTCCTACAAAAAAAATATACATATCAAGTATAACTATTATAAAAAACTATCAAATAAAACTTTTCAAAATAAATAATGCTAAAATACACTAACCTTTAATTAACTCCGATTGAAAATGCAAACTTTTAAAGCCCACCTTGTAGCAGCCACACTTCTAAAAACTCAACACGCTACACGGTTAAAAACAATGCATGATAACCCACATGGGTTGTCATAATGAGATAACATCTCATTATGACACCCACATGGGCTGGGGCTGTCATCGAAATGACAGCCCAAATCGGCTGTCATCTCGGCGACAGCCCATAGGGCTGTCAGCCAGGCTGACAGCGCACACGGGTTGTTAGCCCTGAGATGACAACCCATGCATTGTCATCTCACGGCTGACACCCCATGTGGTTTTTAATCAATGTAGAGATAAACTTTTACAACTTTATTTTTTTTGGATGTATTATACAACTTGGACTATAAATTGTTCCGTTTGCATTCGTGAATTGAAACACCATATTTAATCATGTAGATTTACATGTTGTATTTTTCTCAATTTCAGTATAGAAAATTCCTATTTTTCGATTGAAAATTTCCCAAAATGTTAGAAATTTTGTCACACTCTCATACAACGGAGGATAATGTTGAATGTCATGCAATTAAGTCTCGCGAATGTGTTTGAACCCAAGAGATGGATGTTTGGAGCGATTCGGAAGGGAAAGGTTCCTTCCGCCATTGCTATCCGTCTGTTGGTTGGGTTTGAGGTTAGAGCAAGTTCTTGTGATTACAATCACAATCGTTTGCTCTTGTTCTGCACGAAATTGTTGGATTTGCGGTGACTTTCGAGCCAATTATTCTAAATTTTTTATACAATCTCTTTTTAATTTTTTTTTCTATAAATCTCACATTGCTAGGTTGTTGTTACGTTGACAAAATGCACCTTAATCAAAGTTCCAATGACAACAAAGGGTAGTTCTTTTGTCAACACAGCAGCCTGACAGTTCCGCCGACATGCTCCTTCAATTCAAAATCCAAATGGGAGATTATTCATTCGTCGGGGACAGCAGCCTGACAGTTCCGCAGACATACTCCTTCAATTCAAGGTCCAAATGGGATATTATTCATTCGTGGCGTGGTCCATATTTTGTAAGCTGACAAGTAATACGCTCCGACATGGGTTTGCCTTTGTCAAATTTGTAACGAATATTTTTTTATTTTTGCAAAATATTATTAAATGTGTAATATCAATCTGTCAAAAGCTATGAAATTTTATATTTCAAACTACGGAAATTGTAATCATGTATTATATGATTTATATATGTCATGTAATCGACAATTTATTTATTAACATTACGCAAAAAATTTTAATTAAATACTATATCATCAAACGTGCATATACAAAATTTCATGCTTTATTTTTTACGGCCTTCTAAAAAACCACAAATAAGAGGCATATATTATGTTGCAATTACATACAACAAACACCGTTAAAATTCTCACATTGTTATGTATTGTGTCCTCAAATTAAATTTCTTAATGTCTAGTTAAATACACATATAAATTCCAATCAAAACTATAGTCTAGTCTACTCAAGTTCAAAAAAAGTATGAATATGTAAATGAAGACTTTCGGAGAACTACAGGCACATTAGAGTCGCAAAACTTGGACAAATATTGTGTGTCCCGGAAAAAGGGGTGAAATAGGACATGTATGTAAATGTCCGGCCCGCCGAGGACAAATTCGCGTTTGGGAAATGCGTTTCGAAAAACGCATTTCCCAAACGCGTTTTTGTCGCCGGCTAATCGCCAGACGACCGGCGTTGCTCAAATACCATAGCCGCATTTGGGAAATGCGGCTATCGTATGATATACGAAAGCTGCATTTCTCAAACGCGGCTATGTGTATACGACAACCGCATGTCCCAAATGCGGTTGTCCGTAGAGTAGAAGTGTGACCCACACGAGTTTGGGAAATGCGGTTTTGACCGCAACCGCGTTTCCCAAACTCGTTTTTCCTATTCCTGTACAAAAAAAAGGGTTCCCATTATTGTCCACAACCATTTGTCTCTTCCCATTTCAGTCAAAAACCCCCCAAATATCAACATGTATGAGATCAAAGCATGCACTCGACATGGTTTTGCTTACTGGAAATGCAGACCGTTTATGTTTTGCGAAGTGGCAGACATCACAGGCTAAATTCTTTATATTTGAAGGAGAAATATCACAAATCATATGGATTTTATTGATGGGATAATGTCCCAAGCGTTGATGCCAAAGCTCAGCATTACACTGCATGACAAATCGTTTACAAGTATTAGTTTCCAGGGGTTACTCAACGGGTATAATCCTTTCTCCTCTTTAGCAAATCCAATCACCTTCCCATGTTCACTCAGAAGGCACTGACCAGATGCAAATATTAGAGAATAAGTTGAGTTTTGCAGTAGCTTTCTGGCTGAAATAATATTGAATTTAAAAGACGGGATGTGCAACACTTCTCTTAACCATATATCATCAGACAGTTTAATGCTTCCCATATGTTCCACAGACACATGATCACCATTGGGCAGATTAACCATCAGTCCTTCAATAGTGTGACAATCATCAAAAAAAATCTATTGAACACACTATATGATCAGTCGCCCCTGAATCTAAGATCCATGTCGATGAAGATAGGGAACAGAATTAATGCAAGATAAGTCAGAACACTTGCCTTCACTGTTGTGTTCTGCTTTGTTGAACATTGGAATGAGAGATACGGTTGTTGTAGTAGAGGTTTGCCCCATCAGACCTTGATGCAGCGAGATGAGCTCCTGGAGTTGCTCAGATGTGATATTGTTATCAGAATTTGTGGTGATTGTTGCTGCTTGCTACTCCTTTGCGGAGTTGTTGCCCCTTTGCGGAACGGAGTTCCTCTGCCGAACGGCTACAGGAGGTGTACGTACAAGTGATCTGCTAACTGGTGATTCTGGATGAGTTCCTTGGGTATATGCTTGCTGCTCCTTTGAGTACCAGATGTTCAAACAATTGGTGAAAAGTGAGACTATCTCTCAGGGTTCTCCTCTGGACATGGGAACTCCACCACAAACCATCCTCATTTCTGCAAATTTTGTCCCTAATCCACTAGAAGGTATGTGCCTTATATCCTCTAGTGTTAACAAGGTAACTTGGATATTGGATAGTGGTGCAACCAATCACATTGTATGTCAATCACATATATTAGTTGATGCAAGGAAAATTAAGTATATGCATGTCGAAATGCCAAATGGCACTGGGGCTAAAATCACATGTATAGGGACAATACACTTCTCACCTGACTTAATTTTATAGAATGTGTTCTGTGTTCCTACATTTCATTATAACTTGGTTTCTGTTAGTGAGTTGATCAAGGGCTCCAAATGCACACCTTGGCTATATTCTGACTTGTGTCTTATACACGATCAAGCCCTTTGGAAGAAGATTGGCATGGCTAAATTGCAAAATGGTCTTTATCATTTGATTAAGCCAACTTTACCTAACTCTTCTAGTTCAATAGAAAAGGTTGAGGTCAATGCTTGTAACTCTTGCAGCCTATGGCATACCAGATTAGGACATGCCTCCTATTCAAAACTAAAAATGTTACATTTGTCAAACTCAGATTTGAAATTAAATAAAGAGTTTGATTGTGATATTTGCCACTTTGCTAAACAAAAAAGATTGCCCT